TGACTTTTGGCAAAACACTTAAGAAAGAATACTTCCTCGTTGAGCATTATGACACATCAAGTGGACTTTATGGTTTGCCAAGGTGTTGTAACACATTATTATTAAGTAGCAGCCAACCAAACATGGAAACACCTTTCCTCCTTCAAGCCTTTTGGAAAAACTGTGAAAATGAGTAAGGTTAAACATGGGTAAGAGTGCTATTTGTCTAGTTCTAATGGACCAGTCTCATTAGAATAGACAGTTGTCTAACAGATGGAAGCCGAATGAGGCAACCTGCCATCCATGTGCATCTGTTACTAAACATTTCTGCTGTTAAAAATTACTCCAATAAATTTCTCATGGCACCATGCCCACTATAAGATGACCAATTGGAATGATTTATTTATACGGAATACAGCATAAGGATCCCCATACTGGTGAAAAAGAAACCAAACTGATTTTACATCTCTGGGTTTTTCACATTGTTTTGGCAGGATTCTAGAAACATGCATTATTTATTTCTCCATTTATTCATTCCGTAAATATTTGCTGAATGTCTACCACATGTGGGAACCATGCTAGGCCTTGGAGATGTTATAATAAACAGACTAAAGTGGTCCCCATTGTCCTCAGAGGCTTTTGGATCTAGTGGGGGAAACAACTATTCATATAATCAAGCAGGTTATCACAGACTATGAAAAGTGTTGGGAAGGAAACATATGGAGTGCTGTGAGAGCATATAGCAGCAACATAACTATTCAGGATACCATTTCACAGACAATCTTTTTAACAGTGCTCAAACACAGGTCATGCTGAGGGCAAGGTGAGAAGAGGATTATTATTGCTGTTGTTAACAAACACTTTTCACTTGCACAGCACCTTTCGTCTGACTGGTTCAAAGCCTTTAATACATAAAAATATCATTATCCCAATTTCACAGATAGGAGGAACAGTCAGCTTGCAGTAGTTAAGCATCTTGCTCAAGGTCATAGTGAGTCAGTGTCAGCCAGTTTCAACTCATTCAAACCCCTGTTCACCTTAAATGTTTTGCTTTGCTTGTGCCTCCAAGTAACAACTTAGAATGGACTTAATTTCAGGAAAACACACAATTTCAGACATACATCCTAACTTTTAGGGGCCACTTGTCGGTCTTTGTAAGAAAAGACACATATTCTGAATATGAAACTGCCTTTCCTGCGCACCACACCTCTGACATCCACAGAATGACCCAATGCCTCATTCATCACCATGGTATCTCACTCAAGATTAAACAGCGAACGAGTACAATGATGGAATGATGCTAATGGGATTTGCTGTTCTTACTACATACCCCATCACCTACAAGATCATCTTTCACAATGCTGAAATCATCTTCTGAAGATTCAGTTCCAAATGAAATTAGATAGGGTGGTGTCTCCCAAGATGCTCAGAACCAGTGAATAATACATAACATTGTTTCTTCCACAGCCGTAACACAGGACCCAATAACCAAGGGACAGAAGCAGAATCAGTTACACATCTTCTCCTCCCCGTCATCACACCTAATGATCAACTAGCAATTCCCCCTCACTGCGACTCTGGTTCTGCTGGTTTAAAAGTCTCAACACCCAAGTGAAGAATGATTTCACCAAGGGACTCAACAATGCTTCCACTGATTTGGAAGCTTAAACTGCAACCTAGCAATTCTGAACTCCTCATGACACAGAACAGAGACAAAAAGGAAGGTGACAGAATTGGTTGTTTTAATGAATCTCGATTATCAAGGATAAAGAAGATTGTTGCAACAAAACGAGAGAAGGGAGGTGTGTGTCTGAAACCCGGAATACCTCCTGGTTTGACCACATCTAGTGGTAACAGATAATGGAAGACAGAAATGACTCCATACAGACAGGACTACCAAGGATACAAAGCCCCCTCCCCTACCCCTACCAATGATAGTCTACAGTGTTGTCAGATAAAAGTGACTCAGATAAAAATCTACAATTAGCTGAGAGCTGGCTGAGGGCAAAAAGAACATGGAATGAATGAGTAGTGGAGGAAGGGAATTAAAAACACCAACTTTGGATTCAGACCCAACAGCAAAAGCTAAGACTGAAGTATCTACTCATATTTCTTCCTTGGTCTGACATAGACACATTTCTGCTTTTAACTAATTTCCCCTTCTCCTTTTCTCCCAATATTTTATAAAAAGAAGTTGGTGGCTCACTAGTTATAGAGTAACATAAGGGAACCTTAACAAAATGAACAAGCTCAGCCCAGACATCCTGGACTTCAAGCTGAAAACAATACTGGTAAGATGTGTCATTCCCCCTTTTGGGGAGGCAGAGAGCATGTTTTTTGCTTTTAGGAAAAATAGCTGCGACACGTTAGGAGGAAACATTTTGTTGTTGCTGCCACTGTTTTTGTAAATTTAAGTCCAGGAAAAAAGTGCACACAGAGGTTGAGTAGCCAAGTTTACCTGTCTAGAACTGTTTGAACACTTATCCTAAGTCTGGGAATTTCTCACCTTAGGAGTGATTGATATTTCACTGCAGTGAGGACCAGAAATTCACTCTCAGCTTTCCCTGTAGCAAGAAGACAGATATGCCACCTTGGTCCTTCGCCTCTGAGATTTTAATTCTTGAGAATGACGCGAGGGAGGTGCAGTATAGAAGGTGCTGGCAACAGACCCTGGAACCAGATTATCTAGGTATTTAACCTTTAAATCCCAGTTCTGCCTTGTATTAGCTGTGTAATCTTTGGCGAGTTACTTCACCAATCAGAAAATCAATTTCTTCAACTATAATCTCCTTAACTCTTGAGTATTAAATGAACTAATGTAGGTAAAGAACTGAGAGTTTTAAAATCCAATACAGAAGCCACTAGCTATCCATGGTCATTAAAATCTAAATTAATTAAAACTAAATAAAATTAAAAATTGAGTTCCTCAGTCACACTGCCAAGTGCTCAAGTGCTTAATAGCTGCACGGGGCTAGCGACGACCACTCTAGACAGAGCAGAACATTTCCATCACCGCAGGAAGTGGCACTGGGAAGTGCTGACTTAGAGAATACTTTCTAGTATTAGGCAAGTACCCAAATGATAACAGCTGCTATTATTGTTACTGGTATTCTTGTGGTCACGTTGTTGTTGTTGTTGTTGTTGTTGTTATTATTATTATTATTATAGCAAGTTTAAGATGTAGCCAGACAAAATCTGGCAGAAGAGGGGAACGAGTAAGAAGCAATTTAAAAGTTGTAATCTGATCAGAATTAACAGCAGTATTAGTAGCAGCAGCTGCTCTCAACTGTTTATTATTGGCAAGGTACTGAGGTAAGCACTTGATACAGATTATTTTATTTAACCTTCTCCCAAACAAATAACATTAGAGGTAAGAATGAATACATCCTGCATGACTGATTAGGAACCGACGCTAAGGAGAGGTCTAACTGCAGGGGTCAGAGAGCTCAGTACTGGAGCTGGGAGTCACCACTGCATTAGCAGGTCTGTTATATCACTACGTCCATGACAAAACTACTACCCTAGTTTCAACTATTAGAGCCTATTAGGGGTCACACAATGCTCCAGATGCTGGGAACACAGCAGTCAAGAGACCAAGTTGCTGTCCTTGTGCAGGCTGTATTCTACTTGAGTAGAACAATAATAAGAAAATACTTAATTAGCCAAATGGTAATAAGTGCCACAGAGAACAATTAAACAGAGTGGAAATGAGTGAGCTTTTCTATGATGCACGGTCAAGGCAGGCTTCAGTAAAAGGAGGACATCTGAACCAGAGACCTAAAGAAAATGAGGGGGTGAGCCACATAACCGGAGTCACAGAAAAAGGGGGGCGAGTAATAGGAGATGAGGTCAGAAGTATTAATCAGAGTGTAAAGTGGGACAGATGATGCAGTCCTTTAGCTTTTACTCAGAGAGATGTAAAGGTTTTGCACAGAGGAGTGAGAAGTTCTGATTTGCTTTTTAAAAGAGGATCATTCTGGCTGTTATGATGAGAACTACTTTTGGGGAAGAGGAGCAGAAGCAGGAGACTAGTCAGTAGGTGCTGCAGACGTCCAGGCAAAAGTGAGGATGGCATGGATATAGTAGGAGAAACAGTGAGAGGTGGTCAGACTCTAAATACATGTTGTAGGTGGCTCACGCCTGTAATCCCAGCACTTTAGGCCAAGGCGGGTGGATCACCTGAGGTCAGGAGTTTGAGACCAGCCTGGACAACATGGTAAAACCACATCTCTACTAAAAATACAAAAATTATCCTGGCATGGTGGCGCATGCCTGTAATCCCAGCTACTCGGGAGGCTGAGGCAGGAGAATCACTTGAATCTAGGAGGCAGAGGTTACAGTGAGCCCAGATCATGCCATTTGCATTCCAGCCTGACCAACAGAGTGACACTCTGTCTAAAAATAATAATAATAATAATAATAATAATAAGGTTTATTGATGGACTAGATATGGGCTGTGAAAAAATTAAGGAACTAAGGGCAACTCTGGATTTTGGTCTAATTAAAAATAGAATAGTAATACTGCCATTTTCTCAGAGGGGGAAGTCAGGAGGAATGGCTGTTTTTGGAGAAAAACAAGAGTTTAGTTTTGGAAGGTTAAATGTGCAATGCCTATGAGAATGAAATAAAGTGAAAATGAAAATAAGACATTTATATGTCTGAGATGTGGTTTAGGAGGACTGGGTTACAGCTACAAATGCTATGAAAAATGATTAACTTCATGATGTTATGAGAGCACATGAGAGGAATCCACTTGGCAAACAGAGGTGGGATGATGTCAGTGAAGGCTGTAAGAAAGGAGCTAGCCTCAATCTGTGAAGAGTAAGAAAGAGTCAGTCTTTGGAAATGAAAAGAGAGCACTCCCAGTAGACAGTGTGTGCTAAGGCCAGAGGCAAGAGGATGTTCCAAGAACTAGTGCAAAAGAATAGCGCAAAATGAGACTAGACAGGTAAGGAGGGGTGTATCCCATGTAAAGAAGTTTGAGCTTAATGCTGAAAGTAACAAGAAAAAAACTGAAGAAGGTAAAGATGTGGAAAAGGCAGGCAAAAAAAAAAAAAATCAAATTTTCACTTTCAAAAGATCTCATGGGCTATCAGCTAAGAAATACAGACGAAGAGAGCAACTGTGTGCAGCCACTGTTCCCAAGGGGACTGAAGACTGTGAAAATGGGAATGGAGGTAGGTGAATTAATTTGAGAAGCAGGAAGATTTGGAATATAAAATATGAGGAGCTAGGGAAATGAGGACGACAACCAGATTTCTGAGAGGAGAAACTGGGTGGATGATATTACCATTTACTAAGTTACAGGATCCCCGGAGAAAATCAAGGAGAAAACTTCACTGTGGGACATTGAATTTAAGGAGCCTACAGCACATTTAAGTGGACAATGTCAGATCTGTCATTACATTCATGTGTGTGGTTCTCAGATGAGAAATCTAGAATGGAAATAAGATTTGGGACTCAGCAGCATAAAGAGAGCAATTAAGTTATGAGCATAGATGTTGTTTCTCAGGAAGAGTATGCAGTGTGAGAAGGGAAGAAAATCAAAGAATGGGTCGAAATAGCAAGCTTTAGTGGGTGAAGAGATGAAGTAGGATCTACCAAAGAGATTATGGAGGAGTGACCAGAAGCTAGAAGAAAAAAACAGATGCGTTGTCATGAAAGTCAGGAGAAAATAAAAATTCAGGAAGGAAGGAGCAGTTGTCAGTAGCAGAGAGGTCAAATAAGAGAACAACTGAACAATATTCTCTGGATTTCTTACTAGGTGTGTAACCCTGGATGAGTCACTAACTGTCAGCCTTAGTTTCCTCATCTACACAAAAATGTTCTTATTATCTACTATACCCTGGTTGAGAATACATGGTAATGTGTATTAAGCATCTCAGCGTTAGACACACTAGGCACTACAAATAGGCTTCATTCCTATTATCACGTATCTTGTTTGTCAGACAGGCAGGCCGAAGTAACAAGAACAAGGGTTGAAAGCACCAACGTACGCCTGTAGTCTGAAAGTCTGTGTGCCCTCCAAATTCATATGATGAAATCCTAACCCTCAAGGTGATGATTAGGAGGTGAGGCCTCTGGGAAGATATAGAGCCCAAGGGCAAAGCCCTCATGAATGGGACTGGTGCCAACATCAAAGAGGCCCCAGAGAGCTTGTCTGCTCATTCCATCTTGTGAGGACATAGCCAGAAGGTGCCACTAAGAACCAGAAACTAGGCCCCCACTAGATGCTGAACATGCTAGCACCTTCATCATAGATTTCCCAGACTCCAGAACTATAAGAAACACATGTCTGTTGTTCGTAAGCTACCAGTTTATGGTATTCTGTTACAGTAGACCAAATAGAACAAGACAAATGGAGTCAATAGACAATTTGAGAAAGGGCAACTGGGAGAAAAGGCTCTATACAGTCTTCTTCCTTTTCTTCCACTCACCTCCCAATGTTTCCTTTCTCACTCCTTCTAAATGCAGCTTATAACATAGAAATTCCCAAGAGCCTGTCAAGGGGACCTATTTAAGCATATCTTAGTATTTATAAAAATATAATATTTTGCTGACATTCACTACAATCTTCATGGGCTTGTAATGACATTATGCTCTTAAGAAGAGGCAGCTTAAACTCATGAGCAGTCCATAAAAAAATAAAATAAAAATCTTTCATAGACATTAAACCCATCAACTAGTGATTTCAAAAATTCTTCCAACAGGTTTTGAAATGATAAGCCAGGTAATGTTTATCGAATGAAATACCCTAACTATATGATTACAGAGACCTTTGAACAATCAAACTGGCTTTCAGCTTGGTTTCGACATTGACAAAATGAGTCACAGAGAAGTTTCCCAGATGGCATTCAACATATACTTTCCTTTCAAGGATTAAAGTTCTGTCTACCCTTTCCTGTCCTCACCTCCTCAAAGACATCACATCATGTGGAACTGAGAAAAATTCCCCCAATGCTTGCATTTCTAATACAGAAAGCATGTTTCCTAAAATAAAAAACATTCTTAAAAGAAAAAAATAAAAGAATTCCATTGATTTTTTCCCCCACGTCTAGTCTAACTATTCCCATCCCTCTAGCATAATTTCTTTCACAGCCTCTTTGCCTTAGGATTGACTTTGCAATTCTTTTAATACAACTTTCAATACACAAAGCCTATATTATGTTCTATGTTCCCTTCCCTAAATGCTTATCCTGTTTTATATAAAACTCAAGATTTCTAGCAATCAAATTTCTAACTAACAAGAATCTCAACTTTCTTCTACATATTTAGATAAACCTCCTTTTACTACATGACTCAGTAGTGGTTGTTCATACCAAAGCTTATCTGGTGGTAAAGAGCCATCTTGCACTAGAATCTAAACAATTAGCTACCAAAGGCACAGTGAAAGAAGTCTGCTTTGCTCCAGTCTTTGTGTGAGAGTATATGTGGAGGGAAGATGAGGTGGGAGACAGCGGAGGAGGAATCCATATACATGGTGATGTTTTGTTGTTGTCGTTTTGAGACAGGGTCTTACTCTGTCACCCAGGCTGGAGGGAAGATGAGGTGGGAGACAGCGGAGGAGGAATCCATATACATGGTGATGTTTTGTTGTTGTCGTTTTGAGACAGGGTCTTACTCTGTCACCCAGGCTGGAGTTCAGTGGCGCGATCTTGGCTTACTACAACCTCCGCCTCCCAGGTTCAAGCAATTCTCCTGCCTCAGCCTCCCAAGTAGCTGGGACTACAGGTGCATGCCACCATGCATGGCTAATTTTTTGTATTTTTTTTTGGAGAGACAGGGTTTCACCATACTGGTAAGGGTAGGCTTAAAACTCCTGACCTGTGATCTGCCCGCCTCAGCCTCCCAAAATGCTGGGATTACAAGCGTGAGCCACTGCACCTGACCACATGGTGCTTTTTTTGAGACGTCTTGCTCTGTCACCCAGGTTGGAGTGCAGTGGCACCTTTTTAACTCACTGCCTTCTTAAGCTCCTGTGCTCAAGTGATCCTCCTGCCTCGGCTTCATGAGTAGCTAGGACTACAGGTGCGTGCCACCAGGTCTGGCCAACTATATGTTATCTATCCTGAGGAATGTAAAAGACTTAGGAGGAGAATGGAGATGAAATAGTGCGAAGTTTCATGGAAGTCTTTTCTTACTGAGGCACTCTAAATCAGGAAGACCCACCTTCCACAGCTGGGACCACGGGGGAGTACCCCAGCTAGATGGTAGCAGAAGCATCTTCCCTAGGTTCTCCGGTTACACCCTCCATGAACTAGAGGATCTTAAGAATCCAAAGAACTAATTCAACAAAAATACAGGAAAATGGGAATTGTTTTCTTCCTTCTGTTCTTGCTAAGCATCCATTAAAAAAAATCTATTTAGGGCCGGGTGCAGTGGCTCACACCTGTAATCCCAGCACTTTGGGAGGCCAAGGCGGGCAGGTCACTTGAGGTCAGGAGTTTGAGACCAGCCTGGCCAACATGGTGAATCCCCGTCTCTACTAAAAATACAAAAATTAGCCAGGTGTGGTGGTGCACACCTGTAATCCTAGCTACTTGGGAGGCTGGGGTGTGAGAATCTCTGAATCTCTTGGGAGGCGAAGGTTGCATTAGGCTGAGATCGCACCACTGCACTCCAGCCTGGGCGACAGAGTGAGACTCTGTCTCAAAACAACAACAAAAAAACCAAAACAACAACGACCACCACAACAACAAGAAAACCTATTTAGTATGACTATAGTAACTGAAAAGATAAGCAAAAATATCTATTTTGAGATCATAACATTTTTTCAAATCTATGAATTAACTTCTAAAATGCCAGGAGTTTTCTAATAAATAGTAAGTCTGATTTCAAATCCCTTGTCTCTACACTATACCACGTGTCTACAGCCCAGAACGAGGGCAATCGAAGGATATGAAGCTGAATCTCTTCCCTGTTATCACATCTCACCCAACACAATCAAGACTACGGAATTACCACCTGCTCTGTTCACTCCCATCTAGCAGCCTATCAAATTCTCTGGCACTGCCTTCTCTATAATTAATATGGCTTCCTGATATTTGAAGTTACTTCCCACTAGCACACCTATCAAGTTGCCTTTTGCCTTCTAATTCTCCTCCGTTCAGAAAGATTTCCTGACTAAATGAAAATAAATTCTAACCATCACAAGCCCAATCGAAAAACTGCTGTATTATACATAAATTAGAACAATAAACGATATAAAAACCACATTTAGATGCTTTATAACCTGTAGAGCACTTTTGAAAATAAGGTATATAATTTTGATAATCAGTGATTAGAGAGATTAAATAGCTTCTCCAAACCAAACAATAGGTGATGGAACTGAGACTACAGTGTGGCCACCAACTCTGCAAATAGGTAATACTATTTCACAGGGCATTGTAAGATAAAATCATCAAACCACTATGTTTCTGGATATGATCACCACCCAGTAAAATCCAGATCTACTGATTATAATCCAGTTTCCTTAATACTTTCATATATTTTACTCCGGAAGTGCTGAAGAAGGCAGCAGTCATTGAAAAATACCATCTTATATGAGAATGACATTTAAACATTTTAAACCGGCTTTCATATTCTGTTTTCCAATTTAATTTCACAACCACCTTGTGCATGAAGATGAAAAGAGGCAATTAATATTTTCTGAATGCCTGCTATGTGAGGCTTCATGTCTTTTGAAGGCATAAATTAAGTCCTTTACCTAAATTATTTCATTTAATCCTTGCCACAGCCCTATGAGGTATCGAGGTTCTCTTTTTACAGATAAGGAAAGTGAAGGTTTATGAGGACAAGTCACTAACCCAATGTCACAGTGTTAGGCAGGGGAGGAGCAAAGGGAAGCCTAGGCCTTCTGACTCTAATTGCAGTATCCTTTTCACTGTTCAGTGAAACATTTTTACTAGTCCCATATAATGCCACATACAGACCTTATCACTGTCTTCTGTCATGGAGACTTATCTCTCACTACTTCTAAGACTTGATCATGAGCAAATCTGTAGGCTAACCTGGCAAGAAGGAAACAATTATTCAACCAGATAACTGAATATGGCCTGGCTCATCACAAGCACTGGAGACATGTTAGCTAGGCTTCAAAGGGGTGAATAATACTGGCTATTCAGAAGTTTTTCTTGCCGGGCGCGGTGGCTCACGCCTGTAATCCCAGCACTTTGGGAGGCCGAGGCGGGTGGATCACGAGGTCAAGAGATCGAGACCATCCTGGTCAACATGGTGAAACCCTGTCTCTACTAAAAAACTACAAAAAATTAGCTGGGCATGGTGGCGCGTGCCTGTAATCCCAGCTACTCAGGAGGCTGAGGCAGGAGAATTGCCTGAACCCGGGAGGCGGAGGTTGCGGTGAGCCGAGATCGCGCCATTGCACTCCAGCCTGGGTAACAAGAGCGAAACTCCGTCTCCAAAAAAAAAAAAAGTTTTTCTTTTTTTAAACATAACCGTTACATATAACAATATTCTTTCCTTCAAATAGTTCTTTAATTTCAATAGAATCCCTCTCCAACACATGCCACATCAGTGTGGGGAGTCACTTTTTATTTATTTTATTTATTTATTATTTATTTATTTTTATTTAGACTAAATTTCCCCAAGTGTTACCTTTGAGAAATTTACAATGAGATATGCACAAAATCATAAACATACTTTATAACCAAGATTCCCTAAAAACATTCTTACTGTTAACTGAAAACTACAACTCAAAGTGATTTCAATGAATAGCATTCACCTTGAAACAGAAATGTCACGAAGAGAGCCTTGACCTACATGTCAAAACACTGAAGTTCAAGTCTCACCTCTCGAGACCAACCAAGCGATCTGAGCAAGTCCCTTAATCTTCTTGAGGCTCAGAATCAACAACAACTACCTTTTCTAACTTTGTAAGGTCACTGTGCTCATTAAAGGGACTGGGGACCTGAAAGGCCTTCTCACCCTTTCACTGGGGGAAAGAAAGTTGGTTTAAGCATTTCAGTCAAAGGGCCAGGAGACTGAAGTATGAACTGACGATATTTACAAATCTGGCTTAAGCAAGCCGTGTGCAAATATTAAATAAGTGAGGAAGCTAGAAGAGAGGTGGATTCACTATGTTATCCAGACCTGGGCTAAGGCCTCTAACATACTTGAAACAAACACCAAGCTAATATTCATACTACAAGTGGACTTTGTTAACAGCTTTATAGAAATTGGATCACGATGAACTATTTGAGGTTAAATCTCTTTTTTCCTTTTTTATTGGCTAGTCTGGAAACAGAGCTACCGAATGTTATTTCTGTAGGAAACTGTGTTCCATAATTTGATTCAGAAATCTAAACACTGGGAATGCATTTTTCCTCCTCCAAGAGCTAACAGAGACTCCCTTCCCATCCTTGTAGGTAGAATCAGGAAGTTTCTTTCACTCTTCAGTCCTGTGGCCTTTCAGATATGGGTTGTCAAGTGAGGACTGTATGTGGTAACTATATAACCACTTTTCACTTTTGGAGGTGGGGGCGGTCGAAACATTCCTATCTACAATCTTGTTTTATCTACAATTGCCCAATGAGGTGTGTAGGACAAGTACTATTATTACTCCATTTTAGAAATGAGGAAGCTGAAATACAGAAGTTCTGTAACTCGTCCAAGGTCACGGCCTGGTAGAACATGGATTAGAAGCCAGACCTTTATTTCCCAGCTGGACATGCTTATCAATCAAACACCAACTGCTTACAAAATGGGGAGAGGGAAGTAAAGGGGATTATGGCTTATTCAGGCTTTATTTTTAAACTCATTATATATGGCTTTGTGAATTTTTATTAATTTCATTTTTCATTGCGGTCTAATGAGTTAGTCATGAAAACCATCAGATCAGAAAGTGTACATTTCAAAATTATTTATTTACTTTTATTTTTAATTTTTTTTGTAGTTTTTGTGTTTTTTTGTAGAGTCAGGCTTTGTCCATGTTGCCCAGGCTGGTCTCAGACTCCTGGGCTCAAGCAATCCGCCTGCCTTGGCCTCCCAAAGTGTTGGCATTACAAGCATGAGCCACTGAGCCTGGCCTTAGAAAGTATAAACTGTTTAACATTATTTCGTCATTTTATATACAGATGTTCAAATTTAAGTGTTTCATAATAAAGTGACTCAGTGATGAAGCAGGCCCGGTCTACACCAGTCATTTGTTGAACCATTACATGAGATTTATGCGGAACTCTTAAGGGGCAGGATGATAGACAGGAATAAACCTTTAGGAAAAGGATGACTAAAGTCAAAAGGTAAATGTGAATCTCATACACTTTTTCCTTCCAGTTTAAGCTGTGAGTTGGGAAAATAAATATAAGGAAAGTTTATCACCATTTATTCCAAGTTTAGGTCGTTTTGAAGAAAGAGTTCACCAATTGAATGAAATCAGCCCGTGGCATATATTTTTGTGGTAAGAGAAAAGAAGTTAAAAGTTAACATGACACAACAGTAAGGCCTTGCCCTTACATAGCACTCTTACCTCCCAAGTACTTTCACATAATGTTATCTCATTTTTTTAATCAAGAAATCACTTTAAGACAGGAGGGGCAGATATTATTACTAAGATGATTTTGCAAACGAGCAGAGTCTATGAAAATTGCTTACGACCACACAGCTATTCAGTGGGCAGGCATAGAAAAACACCCATTAATTAAATTTAACTCTAACATTAGACAATTTACCATTGTAACAGGACCACATATGACACTTTACATTATAAAGCCAAAACAGTTTAATTCTATATTCTGAGACAGCAGTTCCATGACTATTAGGAAATGTAGTATAACATGTTCAGTTTCACCTACATTATTTATAGGTGCTTTAAGCAGTAACAAGAATTTCTTCCAAGAGAAAATTGATCATATGATGCTTTCGCTGAAGCTTTTAATTTTTATTTTTAAACAATGTTAAATTGTTTAATTGTTAGTAAAGACAATTTTTTTTACTAACTTCCTGAGAAGTATTGCTGTAGCTTTTCAAAACATGGCCTCACTATACTTCATGTGTCAAATTCAATTTTTGATTTTGCAAGAGAAGAACTCTCTGCATATATCCAGAATTTATTCCACTTAAAGTTCCTATTTAGTATTTCAGTTGGGCTTCTGTTTCACATAGGGGGCTAAAATAAACCTCAGGGTGACAGAGAGTGACCTGATAGGTTGAGAGGACTTGCTTTGGGGTCCCAACAGCACTCCAAGAACCACAAATAGCTGAGGCAGCTGGAAGGCAGGCAGAGAAGCATGTGAGACCTTGCAGGTGTCAGCCAAGGGGAAGGTAAAAAGCAGGCAAGTCAGAATGTCTGGAAATCAACCGTGTGGTGCAATCATATTCTACTATTTCTGGTTACTGTTTCCAATTTTTTTTTTTTGAGACAGAGTCACCCAAGCTGGAGTGCAGTGGTACGATCTCAGCCCACTGTAACCTCTGCCTGCTGGGTTCAAGCAATTCTTATGCGTCAGCCTCTCGAGTAGCAGGATTACAGGCATGTGCCACCATACTTGGCTAATTTTTATATTTTAATAGTGATAGGGTTTCACCATGTTGGCCAGGCTGGTCTTGAACTCCTGACCTCATATGATCCACCCGTGCCTCCTAAAGTGCTGGGATTACAGGTGTGAGTCACCCGGCCTTTACTGTTTCCAATTTTAAGTAACACTGACTTGGTCTTTCTGAATATCAGTTTCCATGAGAAGATAATTAAATGATTATTTTAAGATGAAATAAAGGATAAAAAAGATCATTAAATTTAAAACTATTCATAACTGACTGCATTACTCCAAACCATGATAAACATACATAAGGATTTCCACTAAAGAATGCTGTATTATGAGACATTTTTTAAAAAAGAAAGTCCAGAAATAAAATAAAATTCTTAAAGCTCCAGTGGTTTAAAATATCACTTTGGCCACAACACAAAAGAAAGAAAGTGCCACCATTACCAGAAACTTGATGCTGTGAGAGAGAAATAATGGAAAGAAATCCTCTCCATTCTCACAAAGAAAACATGGCACATACACACCATGGAATACTGTGCAGACATAAAATACGGGGGTTCATGTCCTTTGTAGAGACATGGATGAATCTAGAAACCATCATTCTCAGCAAACTGACACAAGAACAGAAACCCAAACACTGTATGTTTTCACTCACAGGTGGGTGAAGAACAATGAGAACACCTGGGCACAGGGAAAAGAACAACAGTCATTGGGCTAGGTGGGGGGGTGGGGGGGACGGTGGGGAGGGAGAGTGGGGGGCAGGGAGGATGGGGAGGGATAACACCGGGAGAAATGCCTGATGTAGGTGACGGAAGGAGGGAACGGGGGAATGGAGACAGCAAACCGCCATGGCATGTACGTACCTATGCAACAATCCTGCAGGATGCTGGATGTACACATGTACACCAGAGCCCAAAATACAATTTAAAAAAAAAGAAAGAAAAAGAAAGTTTATACTGCTCAAAAAAAAAAAAAAAAAAAAAAAGGAAATCCTCTCCATTCTCTCAAGGACAGTTAACTGGGCACTAGCTCCACTGTACAATGAAAGAACTTTGCCTCACCAACACAGCTGCAAATTCACACAGGGGCTTGAAAAAATAAAAAATAAAATCCATTCACATACTCTCCATTTATATCCTTCTCGCTCTCTCACTTGTCAACAATGTATAGAGATCACACACTTGAGCCAGAGCGGACAACCTGCATATCGGGGGAATAAATCCAACAAATTTTTCTCTCCCAATTACTTTTTCAAATCAGTATTACTGATAAATAAAAATTACTTAAAAATGTAAGTAAGAGCATCTAATAAAAATGTAAGCAAGCATGCTTATGCACTTGTGCCCAGAGAGAAATCGATTTTAAAGCTGCATTTCCTCCGTCTTCACTTAAATAAAATGTCCAAGAAAACATTAAAAGTTATTTCTGAATTAAAACCTGTGAATGTTTACTTTGCTGTTTGGGGGTCATTTTGTAGCTCTAGAATGACCCCATTGTCACTATTAATGAGCACATATGAAAGGGTGTGGCATCTTTTTCACTGTTACAGACACATGTAGGGTGACGATCAGGGAAGCTGAAACCCAGCTGGCCACACGTCACGTTGTTCACTGGCCTCTGCATTGGCCCAGTTCCCCTGATTCTGAACAATGCTTTCTGGTCACAACACTGACTGAGAGCACTAAGTTCCACACCCCAGTCCACCCCCAAATACCAGAGAACTCCCTTCCAAGGAAAGAGGCCTTTCCTTCAACCTCTCAAGGAACATGACTTCCAGCCTTTCCTGATGGTTTCCTGCTGCCCACTCTACCCTCCAAACTTGAACTCAAACTTCCCTTCTAGATATTATTTGAAGTTGTCCCAGGGAAATGAGTTCTCCTTTACAGAACGTTCTAGGCAACCTTATAAATCAGTGTGACATTACCATTTTAGGTGCCTTCCTGCTATCACTTTCATCCTTACTAGAACTCTATGACCTAAACTACTATCCCTGCTTTCGGAAGAAACTGAGGCTCAGAGTTAGAGTGCACGAAAGCCAGAATTTAAGCAAAAACTCTTTCCCCTTACTCTGAATTTCCTATGCATGTTTTTATTGTCTCTGTCAAACTATTTTATGTTTAAAATTATTTTGTAGCTATTTGTGTACATATGTCTAAGAGGCTTTTGTTATCTTTCTTGGATTTAAACATACTAGTGGCACCAACTGAACTTTTTTTTTTTTTTTTTTTTTTTTTGACTACAGTCTCGCTCTGTCACCCAAGCTGAAGTGCAGGATGCAATCATGGCACACTGCAAACCTCCACCTCCTCGGTTCAAGCGATTCTCCTGCCTCAGCCTCCCAAGTAGCTGGATTACTGGTACATGCCACCACACACAGCTAATTTTCGTATTTTTAGTGGAGACGGGGTTTCACCATGTTAGCCAGGTTGGTCTCAAACTCCTGATTTCAAGTGATCCGCCAACTGAACAATTTAACTAAAAGACTAATAAGCAATTGCAGTAGTCCCCCTTATCCACAGGACATACATTCCAAGACCCACAGAAGATGCCTAAAACTCCAGATAGTACCAAACCCTGTATAATCACGCACTGCTTAACAACAGGGATACTTTCTGAGAAATGAGGCAATGCTGTGGAACATCACGGAGTGTACTTACACAAACCTAGATGGAATAGCCTGCTACACACCTGGGATCTATAGTAAGCCTATTGCTCCTAGGCAACAAACCCGTACAGCATGTTACTAAACTGAGTACTATAGGCAACTGTAACAAGACTACTATTTATACAGCTAAACACTAGTCAACATAGAAAAGGTACAGTAAAATACAATATTTTAATCTTATGGCACCACCATCATAAGTATGGTCCCCCTTAACTGAAATATTGTTATGGGGTTCGTGATTGTATGACTACATTTTTTCCTATACATATATACCTATGATAAAGTTTAATTTATAAATTATGCACAGCAAGAGATTAACAACAATAACTATTAAGAATATAGAACAATTATAATATGCTGCAGTAAGTTATGTGAACATGATCTTTCTTGCTCTCAAAATATCTTATCGTACTGTACTCATTCTTCCTCTTGTGATGAAGACAAGACACAGCAGCAAGGCACAAGATTTCATCACATTACTCAGAACAAGGTGCTACGTATTTATTTCTGGGATTTTCCATTTAATATTTTTGGATTAAAGGTGGCCACAGATAACTGAAATAGTGGAAAGTGAAACTGTGGGCAAGCAGTGACTACTGTGCTTTCAATGCCACGCAGAAAAATGCATTAATTTTATGCTGAATTTTCACATTTGCTGATACATTCCCCAGTTCAGTCGATTTCCCCATCTCTCTTCTGCAGTTAGCCCATTCAGCACCACTGCCAGTTAGTGGGGAAAGGCCTAAACCTCAAGTTTTTTTTGACACTCATTAATTACATGAAAAGTGTGAGGATGGAAGGAGGCTAAATTGATGATCTAAAATAAGGGTTTAATCCTGTATGTGGACTATGTCCAGTGTCAGAAATAACCAGGAGTTTGCTGTGCTACAGAACATTCATATTATTTGGGTAAGTCTAAGAACTAGCAGCTAGGATGGCCTGGTGCCACCGAGGCTAAAGAGTTTAACAATCATACTGGGCACCTTAGAGCCTACCTGGAGTACTGTGGTGAACCTGGCCCTTCAAAGGTCTATAGGTGTTTCCTACCCATTCTGCCGCTGCTGTGTGTGTCCTGCCTCTTCTGTACGCCCCTCTCTTTGTTTCCTCTCATTTTCTTCTCTCCTCTTTCTCGTATCATCACTGCACGGAGGGGTCTTCTTTGCTTCAAACACAGACTAAGCAATCACAGCATGTTTTTAAAAGCTGTCCCTTCCCCTTTTTCACTGTTGGAGGAACGTAACGGTGAAAGGTGAAAGGCCCTTTCCTGATCTTCAATATAAAAACATCTTTAAAGGGCCAGGCACAGTGGTTCACGCTTGTAATCCCAGCACTTTGGGAGGCTGAGGCGGGTGGATCACCTGAGGTCAGGAGTTTGAGACCAGCCTGCCCAACATGGTGAAACCCCAGCTCTACTAAAAATACAGAAAATTAGGCCAGGCGCGGTGGCTCAAGCCTGTAATCCCAGCACTTTGGGAGGCCGAGGCGGGTGGATCACGAGGTCAAGAGATCGAGACCATCCTGGTCAACATGGTGAAACCCCGTCTCTACTAAAACTACAAAAAATTAGCTGGG